CCGATGACCCGGATCAACCTTAATCTGTATTATTATGTTTTTTTTATCAAAGTAGGCCTTGATTATTCTCTGCAACTATAAGAAATGTAGTAAATTAATGATTTTAGATATATAAGCGTTTCAATGGCTTCAAGTGGTCACCAGATGATCTGCCGGAAGATCCGAAACATCCGTAAAATTTATTGCTGCGCAATTTAGTGCTAAATAAATTCGATCAAAGTAGGCCTTGATTTTTCTCTGCAACAATGAGAAATGTTGTAAAATGGTGATTTTTTATGTGTTAGCTGTTCAATGGCTCCAAGTTATCACCAGATGGTCCGCTGGTAGATACGGAAGATCCGTAAAATTGATTGCTGTGTAAATTTGATCAAAGTAGGCCTTGATTTTCCCCTCTCCAATTATATGGAGTATAGTAAAATGGTGATATCTGAAATATTAGCTGGTCATTGGCTCCAAATGGTCACCAGATGACCCACCGAAAGATCTGGAACATCCGTAAAATTGGTTGCTACGTTAATTTCACCAAAGTATGCCTTGATTTTTCGTTGCAACTGTATATAATGAAGTAAAATTATGATTTTTTTATATATTAGCTGGTCCCTGGTTCCAAGTGGCTCGCCGAAAGATCCGGAACATCCGTAAAATGTATTGCTGCGTAAATTTGATCAAAGTAGGCCTTGTAAAATGTAGTAAAAATGCTACTGATGTTGCTTCTTACAGTCGTTAGTTAACTGCCTCCTGTCAAAGTTCATTCATGAGTAAATATTTATCTTAGCTTTCTTCAAATTGAATTCAACATTTCAAAACAACGAAAAAAATTGTGGTAAGTATAGGGTTTGACATATCATCATACACCAATCGGTCTCTTTGTCTCGTATCAACTAAAAATACACAGCTACCACATTGCTTTACGCTGGAATGCGTGCAATGCAATTGTATCTTCAAATATTATTACTGCCGCACGGCCGTAGAATTCAAATCAAATTTGCATTCCGCTCACTCAAATTCGCTAAAACACAGGATATTCATAGACTGAGTAAATTTTTCTCGGTTTTCCTCAAATGAGGATTTTTCTCGATTTTGAGGAAAATCGAGGGAACTTTTGGTCAATCCAGGAGTATACCTGAAGACTGTTTTCATTATTATTATAATTATTACTCAGTCTATAAGTAACCTGCTTTCTAGAGAATATAAGTAAATGGAACTCAAATTTGAGTTGAATTCTACAGCCATGAGTATATGTGAGTATATGTGAGTATATCAATAAAGCAGTACACCATAGTTTTACAAGCACCTATTTAAAATATCCTTCTGATACGGATATGAACTTAGTATAACAGAAAAATTAGTATTCCTTAAGTATAATCGCTCATTGCTTTACAATGCATATTCTATCATTTCAAGTTACAATATATTTATTTATATTTTGCAGGGATGTAATACAATAGATCAAAATACTGAACGCTGTGGTGTTAGCTCCCAAACAGAGGAAAAAAAGCTGCAGATAAATTTAAACAAACAAACACGTCATATGTATGCGTTAAACTAAGAAAATACTAATCGAAGCACGAGAATGCGTACATTCCCCTATGGCTTATATTGAATTGAAAGTATGTTTTCTGTGGATAATTTCAAATTAAAACTGGGAAAGATTAAACAAATAACTTCAAAGGGAATTCCGTTAAAAATATCAAAGCAATCGTATTCTGGTTATATTAAAAACAAAATTGAGGAGAAGAAGAAAAACAAAATCAGAAGAGAATTTTGAGAATTTTTGAGGAGGGCGTTGAGTTAAAATAATAATAAACAGAATTTCCAAGGAATCTAATTGTCAAAACAGTTATAGATGAATTTTAAGCAGGATTCCGGCAAACATAATTTTGCATTCGGAAACTTATATAACTTCTTAAGAAGCTTACTCTGGTTGCTTCAGTTAGAATCATTAGAAGCTTCTTTAGTTTATTTTAGAAGCTTATTTTAGTTAGAAGCTTATTCTAGACTCTTGTCCGTGGGTCCGCTCCTCTGTTTAATATGAGCAGGACAGTAAATCTGAGTTGCTACGTAGTAATGGAGCAATTTTCCAAGGTTTATGGAAGACAATTTAAAAAAAATATGCAATATGCTTATGGGAAATCTGTACAATTTCAATGCTCATTCGGTACATTTTTACAATTGTGTTGATAAGTTTTACATAAAATATGGATTATATTGACAAGTTTTATGGATCATTATCACTTTTTTTAGGGATTTTCACCGGGTTTTTATAGGATTTGGGTGATTTTTAAGGAATATTTTTAAATTTGTTATGTGTCGTTGCATTAATTCTAGAGGTGCATATTTAAGCCTGCACTCCAACTCCAACTCCACAGCCCTGGTATTTGGAAGCTGTCGAACATTTATGCAGTTTTGAGTGGATTTTATTAGGCCAATCATAAATCAATTGTCAATTTCTCAAACTCGCTCATAATTTCTCAGAACTTGTTACTGCTATGTTTGTCCTTATAAAAATAAGAAAATGCAAAAAAACGCATTTTTTTTTCTTCTTATTAATCTTAACGCATATTGAAAATGTTTACAAATAGGTTGAAATTATCTTTCATTTAAAATAGCATAGCATAGCATAAACCAGGTTCCACAATGTCGTAGGTAGTACGAGCTCCAAACTGTTGTTAAGAAGGAGACCCACCTTCATCCGTTGATAGTAATTTGTGATTAATTACTACCTCTTAGATAAAGGATGTGTCTCCCTCCAACAGACCAGAGCTGTCGTGGCCACGTCCTTGCATCTGGTGGGGAAAGGGGAGGAATGTTAGTCCGACACTTACTTAAAACAGATGCAAAGAACTCTACGGCCCCACATAAGTGTCACGGGAAGGGTGGATTTTTGTTAGTAGGGAGGGTAAGCCATAAGATACGCCCAGCCAGCGTTGCTGGCAATCGTTATATTAAGCATTTAATAAATAGAAGCTGTAAGTAGTTTATCTGTCCGTTGTTGCTGCCCATTACCTAAACATATTATTCAAAACAGTCTTCAGATTTTGGAATTAAAAAAACGTTATCAGCTCGATCCTGTTGCTCCTTTGCGCCTGAAAATGTGTGTTGGTCCTAAACATATGCATATGCAATTCATTTTGAACGATATGAGGTTCTCATGTGTAAGAGGCAATTAATAGCATGTAGAATCGTAGATTAGAATGAAGCTTTGCCCTTGGCCGATCTCCCACTGTCTGGCAGTGGCATTATGGATAAAATCTGCCTGCAATCATTTCTTATGAATGCAAGAAGCTTTAACCCAGGAGTTAGAAGGTGACAGCTCTACCGCAGCTACGATAGCCCATTTCAAGAACGCAAGCATTCCGAAGCTATTTTAACACATGAAAAGCCCCGTTCCAATAGATTATCGATGCAAATATACACCATTGCTAATGTACTAAAACTTTCAATCAAGCAGTAGTGCAATACTTGATTGACGCGTATTTAGTAAGTTTTGAAATGATAGTTTTTAATTAGATGGATTTTTCCTATCAAGGACAGAGGAACGAAAAAGTAAATAAACTTAGCTGAGCGTAACTACGCGTAGGTCAGAACAGTCGGTACCACATGCAACGGATAAGAATTCGAAAATTTTCACTTAATGCGCTTTTCAACATCACTTCTGTACTTTCAAATTAAAGATTTTTAAAAATGAAATTGTAAATTTTAACATCACTAGAAAGAAAACGACTCAGCAATACAAAAACACGCCATTTTCGCAGCGTGGCCTACTTCGATCTCCAGGTTGAAATTATCTTTAATTTGGAATAATCAAATAAATAAACTGTTCGTAGTTGATAACCTTCCAACTATTAAAAGTATAACTTCCAATATGCACTCTAATAGATCGAGGCAGAAAATAAACAACAAGGGACAATATTTTATATTAAGACATATTAAACATTAAGACAAAATTATCGCCCCTGAATGCGTGAAAAAAATAGTCAGTTTCCATCCACGGACAATTTTGCTTTAAACTACAGAAGCTTTCATTTTCCCACCCAATCTAGATTAAACTCCCTTCGAACCGAACGTTCCAACGGCGAAAGTTGTATTAAAGAACCGCATTCGTGCTTACCCACCGAATTCAAACACTCAACATTTTACCCATTGTTTTCATTCATAGTTCGTTCATTTCGGCTTATCTCGAAATCATTCCCTACCCATCGCCAGTATTTGCACCATTTGATCTTCACAGTCGCACAGTAGTAGTGGTTTGAATTGTTCCAACTTTCCGGCTGCCTCTTTCTTTTCTCCGCAATGCACCCTAGAGAGAAGTGCAGACAGATGTCAGTCTTAGCCGATAAGGATCTCCAACTCGAAATGTCGGAATTGGTCTCCTCTTGGCAGCTCCAGTCCGTCCCAGTGTACGAGATTAAACAATCAAGTGGAGGAACGCTGTTTGCGATGAAATTTCTTAAAAGCGACTCGAATCTCAACTCCGGCATCGGAACGGCTGGGTGGGGAAACGATTCCATGCACGACGGGCAATGACGGCAACTTATATAGTGCTGCGATGGCAGGAGCAATAAAATTCACCGAAAGATGATCCGATCCGATGCCGGTAGCGGATCTAAAACAGAGCAACCAAACATTAAAATCGATGCCAGGAACGTGATCGAATAATACCGAACTGAACAATGTATGTAAGTACGGAAATTACTACTTTTCCATCTTGATTACGGAGAAGTCGGAACGAAAAGCTCCTTTTGCCTTTTGGCCTCTTTGCAAAGTAGCCTGGATTTAGTTCAAAATGCGACGTAATCCAATTTGGTTGCAGGAAATTCAAACAGCAACTTCTTCGGCTCAGGTACCTGCAAAAACTCCATTAAGGATGCAGCTCATTCCTCCGCCGTCGGAACATAAATAAAATCATTTGTACGGATCAGAGATAGAGACGTACATCCCCAAAATGAAAAACGGCAAACACAGTCAAGTAGGGTAGCCTCCCCAGAAAAACGACTCACCTGGTTGTTCGGGAATGTTCCGTCCTTGTCGATGGCGTTCACCTGCGTTACCTTGGTGCCGATCGGTTCGCCCTCGAGCACCGTTTCCTGTTCACGTTCGGTAAACAGTGGAATTTCATCGTTTACATCCTCTAATTGTATGTAAACAGTCGCTTCCGATGCCAGCTGCTGGGCTCCGTTGTTCTAGTTAGGATGAAAAGAGGGAAAAAAATACATGATCAGTAAAATGAAGCCTGAAAAATGTGCCTTCCTCTCCGCTCCGCTGGTCTGAAACTCTGGGTGATTTAACAGCTTCACATTTAGCTGGAAGGGGCGGTGGTGATAGAGGAGGGAGAGGTTGGCTGGAAAATATGCTGAGCGAGTGGAAATTTGCAAAAAATTGAAATGCGTGGATTTTTGTTTGGATGTAGATTTTTTTCAACAAACGTTATTTGGAAGCATTCCTAAATTGTTTGCCCGTTGACAAAGTTGACAAATATTTTTTGATATAGACCAACAGGTTGGTGATGTTCCTGCAATGCTGTGTAGGCTATACCTAGAATAACAAATTCTTGCTTTCGAACTTTACATTTTTAAAGATACGGTACGTGAAACTCGTCAACCCAAACCATAAGTATTGATTATGGTAAACACTCTTCCAATGAGTTATCATTAGTACTAGGGATTATGTTATATGTATTCATTTTTATTTAACATAACTAAAACACCATTTACGGATGTAAATTCTAATAAGCGCAGTTCAAATTTTAAACCAATGAACTAGTATAAGTTAAAGGAGTACTAAAATTAGTATTTGATTCCCATTTTCCAGAATTTTTATGATTGAATTGTCATTATGTTTATGAGGCGAACTAACAACCTACCATGGTGGTTACTCATGGTTACTACACGAGAAACCAGCTTCACAGAATTATTTTTAGAAGCAGACATATCGATCTACATGTGCTCCTCTAATCCAGACTGCACCAACATGCATAAGTAAATTTTTGGAAGGCTATCTAGATTACATATGGGCTCATATGAGAAAAATATCACTGCAATCATTCAGAATTGAATGTGGAATGAAAGTACCGTAAGATCGCTATCGAACGCTCACCTAGTCTCCCTTCACCGCTCACCGCATAATTATTTTTATAATTTTTTTTTTTCTTAACACTTCGAACACGATGCCTCCGGTAAATGTGTAACGACAAACTTGCAATGTTTGAAAAATCATACCTCAGCCATTTATTGATGAACTTAGCAGTAGATTTAAAATCTATTAGTAAATTGCTGAGAAATTATTTTCAAACACTGCCAATTTTCCGTTAAACATTTTACCGGAGGCTTCGTGTTTGGAGTGTTAACTTGCACATTATAGGAAATGATGATCAATGATACTACTACGTTACTATTAATTTTAATTATTCTATTGGCATTTCTTGTAATTTTATGTAAATAATGATAATATATATGCAGTGAGCGGTGAATGGTGCATGGGCGGTGAATGGCGACTTCACGTTAAAACAAATTCATAAGCAAACATATGAAAAAACGCTATGAAAATTATTCCGCGCTTCTCAAATATAAACTGGTGAAAAAATAGTGGAAAACTTCAGAAAGATTCGAAAATTGCAGCAAAGCCTAGTGCAGGAAAGTTTGAGATAGCATCAGAAAATTGTCGGAAGCATTGTAGAAGATCCTAGAAAATCACGAAAGTCCAGCGAACTTTTGGAATCTGTTTTTACAATTTCATTAATTTCAAGACACTTTCAAGAACATCAACCGGAAATTGTGAAAACTTTTGTGAGGTTCCAAAAACTTCCGGGATGCTTGTAGAACTTCAGAGCAGTTAACTTAACGAAAATTTCAGGAACCTAATGGAAGTTACGAGGATTGAAAGTAAATTCCGAGAATTTCAGAGAAGTTTCATCAACAGACAGATTTTCTTTTCGGAACCCGAGCAAAGTCGGTTAACAAAGTGAAAGCAAATCGATATTAAAGTTTGCAGTTATTTTTGATTTTAATTGTCACGACATAAGTCTGTGCTTTCATAATGCAGTCAAACTTTTTAAATGAAAGCAACTTTTCTTGAAGTTTTGCTGTTAACGTCTTGTTTAAAATGTAATTTAAGTTCATCTGTAGTTGAACTAATGATTATAGTTTATTTGTCTTGTTTAACACATTTTAGGTCATTCATGACTTGCTCATGGTGAGATTTAAGCTCAACTCTTTCAGCGTGAGAAGCATGGATACTAACCATTTACGCCACCCCCGTATTCACTTCAACATTATGAATGCAAAATCAGTAATCAAATTGATTGCGTTGAAAACAAGATTAGTTTTCCGTTTGATTCAACAGTGTAAAATTTTGCTCTCATTTGTGCTGTGTTAACCGTTGAGTCAACCAAAATGAGATCAACTGGAGTATTCAAAATAAGTTACATCATAACAGCACATTTTGATTTCAATTTGATCTCCGGCTTTGCTCGGGAACGCAGCTAGTAGATTGCATTTCCAATATGTGGAGGAAATTTCACGTCAAAGCTCTGAAAAACAACAAAACCAGCGCGGTATGAATGAGGGCCATTCTTTGATAAATTGTAGTAGGGTGCTTTCCATTCATTTTGGCTAAAAAAATGTTTTTTGAAAATATGGCATAATAATACATTATAATAATATTTTGTTTGAGTAAACAACAAGAAAAGATTCTGATGTTTGCTGAAGGAACCGGAATTTTGGAAAACAAGTGAAATCTGGACCGAAATTAAAAAAAAATCCAAGATGTTTTTTCCCGATTCGAAATCAAAATAACCATGCTTTTTCCAGACTTTCCATGGTTTTAATCCCAAAATATATTTTGCCTACTCATAATTACCATGAAATTCTCTTTCAACTTATCAGAAAATTCCATTGGAACTTATCTCGTATTACCCTGGAATTTCTATGCAACTCTTCTAAAAAAAAATGCCATTGAATCCTACTTAGAATTTCTTTGGAACCCTCCTAAGGATTAGATTTCGTTGATATTAATTTCAAAATTTTATTTGAAATTTGAAATTCTCCTCAAAACGCCTTGGAATGCCGTTCAGATTTTTTTAAGAATTTCTTTTAAATTCTCCTTATTTTGACGTAGGACTACGTCTGTGATTTTTATATGGGGGTAAACTTTGTGCAAACCGAAAATGGAACATGTAACAAAAATATAAAAAAAAAGATTTTGAACGTTAATAACTCAGCTGCCCCTGGACCAATTTCAATAACTTTATGACCAATCGATCAGAAATATTTCTACACATCTGTTAAATTTAAGGCTTTATCATTTTTCAAAATTTCACTACTTAAAATTGCCCGATGGTGTAGCTGTTGCTGTGATAATTAAAATAATCACCGATTGCCTGCGAAAGTGATTTCCCTAACACAGATTTCAAGTTGAATTCCATCCGGTCTCACAAAACTGTCTTTATTCAATCAAAGTCAGGTAGATTAAATTTGTTGAAGGTTGAGGCTGACGGTATCATGAGCATATCATGAGCATTAAGGTGGCCCAAACTAACACTATGTCCGGAAACCTGGGGGCTCACCCTCCACATGATAGCCATGAATGTTACATCAAAACTTTTGAATGATTGTCTGAGGCATAAAATCTCTGATCACGCCTTCCTTCGGAAAGGAAGTTAAGCCGTTGGTCCCCGGTCTATGACTTGATGGGTCAATAGGTAGGATCCAGATGTGGGAACTGCCTCAGTACGGCAAACAAATTTAAAAAAAAACTTTTGTATGGTGGAAACTCTGAAAAACGTGAATTAGAGGAAGCCCCGATGAGATTTTTGAAAAAAGTCGGTTTTTCATGGTCATAACTGAACAAATATTTCTAATGCATCAAGATTTAGTGAAACGCAACCATTTTATATTTTTTTAACATTCTTTGGGGTGCCTAAAGTATGCGAAAAAATTGTCATGGCCTGCTAGATACTCTATTTCCTCATAATTTGTTTTTTCAATTCTCAGAAATCACGATTTTTTCGGTGCATAATGACATTTATCATCAAAAGTGGGTGTTAGTTATTCATGATTTTCTGAAGAAAGGATAGCCATAGTTTTGTAAATTTCATTTAAAATCTTTAAATATCTGCAATGTCATACAAAAACGCTCAATTAATAAGATGTGTTCCGTAAAGTAAACAATTAAATAATTAAAAAAAAAATATTCTGATTTAAAGGTTCTCGTAAATGGATATTTTTTCGATTTATCCCCTCCTGGGTTAGTTCATCACCCATAAATATCAGTTTGGATCAAAATCGATCAAGCTTCCAGCTAATCCAGAACGCATTGATATGTCAAGTTGAAAAAATAAATCTGATCATGTTCTCCTCCGACCAGTTTTTTTCTTACGGCTTTTATTTGGAAGGCTCATTGTCTTTAGGAGCTAAACGATGCCGAGGTACTAATATTTGTTTGATGTACATTTAGGGGGATTCAGTTCTTCATGTTTCTTCTTCTGCATCGCTTCGTACTCGTAGAGTTTACTCCAATGCTTTGTTTTCGGCCGCCGGGGTCGCCACGTCCATTTTCACCACCTCTTTTTACAGCAACTCTATCCCTTCCTCTGTTTCCTGACTGCTGCTGTCCGATGATGCACCTCTAGCCTCTACATCAGCGATCGAACTGCTGTCTTTATCGGCTTGTTTTCTTTCATCCTGCTTTAAGTCCACATCCGGCAGTTATTCAAACTGCTACTGTTGTTTACGGACCATGCACTTGGGGCAAGATTTCATCCGCTGTCGCTCCACCTTACATAGGAAGCATTTATCCTTATTCCCCGAATAGAATATGTTCCCCTTTCGAATAAGGACTTTAATCGAGGAGGGAATGTTCTCTTCTACATCCACGTAAACACCTCGTACTCCTGTGAACATATCGAGGCTCAATGCAATAGGATACGTTTCTCGAATGACATGCTTCACTTTTCCATATTTTGCTAGCACCAACGTCAGATCACCATCTGGTACTTCTGGTGGCAGATCGTACACTTGCACGTATTGCACGTTGCCCCTGGCAAGTGACATTCGTACCTTCACTACCTTTCCATGAGCATATTGGACAGTTAATTGCTCCGGGTTATGCACCATGAAGATCGCCTTCCCCTCAGCAATTATATATGTGGCGTATATGTCACCATTATTCGCATCCAAGGATTTAA